TTCCTGTATGTACTCTTTATTGACTTTCTCCGCTTTCCTGTATCACTTCCCCTGTCTCCTACTGTTGCTCCCTGGGAGCACCTTCCATATAAACTAACTTGCACTGACATCCTTGCCTCAGGATCTGCTTCTGGGAATACCATGTGTCTCAATGGCGGCATCTCAAGATGGTGGAGACTCCTTGTCCTCAAGTGACTATGTGGAGCAGAGCCTCCTCCCCTCAATCCTCTTTCTCTCATTTACCTACATCAGACTTTGCTTGAGTGAGAAATACATCTTTGTTGTGTTAAGCCATGGACATTCTTGTTTTATTTTTATAGCCCAGCCTCAGCTGATTAAATACAGTGCGGGCTGCTCCATGCATCGCATTTTAAGCAGGACATTGACAAACAAGAGCACCAAGTCCATTCTAGCCCCTAAAAACCTCTAATCTGCTGCTTCTCTCTATCTCCACCCTAAACCAATCAGCTCTTGCCTGCCTTCTGCAGTTCACACCAGTCCCCTATCAAGCCACTCCCAGGCTGTGGCCAGTTCTTTTAAAAGTGGACATCTGACTGTATTACTTCTTACTTAATTCCCTTCAAAGGCTGAAGTCCAAATCCTTAACGGGGCCTATATGACCCTGTGAGGGCTGGTCCCGCCTACTCACTCGTCTCCCTGGAGCCACTCTCCCCCAATGTCTGTCTGTGCTGTATCTCACTAGCCTGCTTTCAGTTCCTCAAGCAGGACAAACCCTTTCCCATCTCAGGACATTTGCACATGCTGTTCCTTTTCCTAGAATGCTTCCCCCTCTACTCTCCACCTTGGAAATTCCTGTTCATCCTTAAGATCTCAGCTAAATGGTCACCTCTTGGGGGAGCCTTCCTCAGCTTAGACAGGTCCTGCTGATATAGGCTTTCATAGGCGCTTCGATGTACTTCCCCTTCACAACATTGGTTGCAATTTTATTATTTTGAGGTGTGTTTCTTTAATATCTGGGGCCCCCATTGCACCATAAAGGCCAAAAGATCCACATTTGTTTTGTTCGTTACTATATTCCTGATGCCCAGCACAGTGTGCCCGGTATATAGCAGACACTCAGTTAATAAGTGCTGAATAAATGCCTGCATGAATAAGTAAACGAAGAAGTGAGCCTTGGACCTAGATAAATTTGTTGGGAGGCAAGAATTCTGACACAAGGAGGAAACAGTACTTGCCATTCTGGTTCTGAGTTTCCCTCTGGGACTGGTTTCTGTGAGGAGTGGGGAGGGCTGAAGAGCAGCTCCTCTTTTCTGTGAGAGAATGGGCAGGGGGAGGGGCTAGTGGATGTTCAAACTCTGCTGGGCAGCTCAATGTCATCTCTGCTCTGCCACTGCTTACCATTCCAGGCTGTCTCCTGTTGCTCTTCTCTAGGCCCTCAGGGTACCCCCCCTCCTACAGCCCTCTCTGGCCTCCGCATCAGAGCTGGTCAAGCACAGGCAAGGAGAAGTCATTTTATTTGGCCTCAAAGGGTTGGGTAGAGAGAGTGGAGCAGAGAACTCCCTCATTTTCTGAGACCCTTGGAAGCAGAAGCGTGCTAGTGTGGGTATCTTTCGGCTTCTCCCCATCACAGCCTTTGGGTCCAGGTGCCCTTCCCCATAGGGGGATGTTGAAGGTCCTCCCTATATGAATATTATAAGTTGGGGCAGGCTCCAAACCTCCCACCCATCCTTTATAACCCTGGGCAAGGCAGGTGTCCAGGGATTTATACTGACAGACTCCTACAAAAACCCACCCATCTGCTTGTCCTGGACCACCTCCCTGGTGAGCAGTCCCCTGCCATGAGCAGTTGCCAGTAACCAATATTTTTCCCTCAGTCCTCCCCGTCCTGGGTCTCTGAAGCACTGGATTTATTGTCATCCTTCCACTATCTTGAACTTCTTTCCTCCTTGATTTTGTTCTGGACTCTTTGCCTCTGTAATCGCTCCTCTTCCTCCTCCAAGACACTAAAGATCTTGGTCTTCCTCTTCTCACTCAAGCCTCTCTCCCCTGATGACCCTGTCCATTCCTGCTGCTTCAGGCATCACCGCCATGTGAACCAACTCCAAATATCATCCCTCCTCCTGACCTGTGCTGGGCTCGGGGCACATGGCTTGGTGGGATCATTTGGAGAGGACTCCTCAGCCCTTGGGCCAAAGTTTTTTGCTTTTGCCAGGCTAGCCTGATTACGCCTCCATTTTGTTGTTTGTTTACTTGCTCATGTCCTATATCTCCTTCCAGGCTAGAAAGTCCATTGAGATAGGATTATGTGTACCTTGGAGCCCTTGGGATGCAATGGTTAAAGCGCTCAACTGCTAACAGAAAGGTGAATGATTTGAACCCATCAGCTGTTCCGAGGGAGAAAAGAGCTGGCAACCTGCTCCCATAAAGATTACAGCCTAGGATACCCTATGGGGCAGTTCTACTCTGTCCTACAGGGTCACTATGAGTCGGAATCAACTCGATGGCACCTAGTAACAACAACATCTGTCTTACTCTCTCGGCACCCTAGGCAATCAATAAATGTTTGTTGAATGAATAAATAAAACATAACTGTGCCCTCTTCCAACTCCATGCCTTTGTTCTTGCTGGTTCCTTCCCTGATGTGCTTTCCCCTCCTCCATCTAGTTCCATTTGTCAAACCCTCCTCATCCTTCAAGACCCACTCAAATGGCATCTCCTCCCTGAAGCCTTCCCTGATGCCCCAGTTTGGAGCAATTATTCTTCCTACTGAATTCCTGTGGACTGAGGCTTGCCTCAATTATAACACACCTTTTGCTTTGGATTTAATTATTTTTGTGCTCACCTCTGTCCCTCACCAGATGCCCCTGTCCTCTTACAAGACAGTGAGCCCCTTGAGGGCAGGGGCAGGGTATCTGCGTATTCTCCGTTCCATAATCCCTGGTACTGTGCTTTCTATGAAGAAGGAGCTCAATAAGTGCTCATTAGCAGAAGGCAAGCGTATTGATTGCAGTCAGTGGTGTTTAACTGGTCCAGATACTGCTTCCGTCCAGCCCAGAGTGGGGCCCCTGACCCTCCTTTCCTCTGGCTGGGAGCACACTCGTGCTGACTGGACTGCCTCCAAGATCTCCCTCCTGCCTCCCCACTCAGTCGCTGCTAAATTTACCTAAGTCTTGTCCCACTCCAGCACCATTTCAGACTTTGCATGGCCTGACCACAGCCAGGTAGATGGAGGAGGGAGGTTGAACTGCAGGGATTGTCTGCTCTCACAGGGCCCCTTGACAAGAGCCCAGGAGAGCTGAGGTTGGCTGATGGAGGCCTCAGGGCTTCAGGGGAATGTACACAGACTCCTGTGCAGCGTCCCCAGGCCCTGAGAACCATATAAGTATGGGGAACCCCAGGTCTGCATGTGTGTGGTCACATCTGTGCTGATGGAGGCGATAGCAGGATGTTGGTATATGAGTCATCAGTGAGGGCTTCCTGTTTGGGCTGCCAGAGATTGAGTGGCAAGTTTTCCAGCAGATTTAACCCTAGTGTTTCAGAGGTTTTTGTCCCTGAGCTAGACTGCACACCCATGCTAGCCCGGAGGCTGTTAAACATTGGTGCTTACTGAATATATCCATCACTAGAAAAAAGAAACAGCTGCCATCAAGTTGATTTCAACTCATGGTGACTCCATGTGTTGTGGAGTAGAACTGTACTCCATAGGGTTTTCATGGCTGTGACCTTTCAGAAACAGATTGCCAGGCCTTTTTTTTGAGATGCCTCTGGATAGGTTTGAACCACCAACCTTTCACTTAGTAGCCCAGCAGTGTTTGTGCCACTCAGGTCTCCACAGAGACCACATACCCAGGGAAATCCTCATCAGGGTGCCAATCTCTTGCTAAGAGCAGTAGGTAGATACCTCCGGTAATGTCTGGGGTAGGAGTGATTGCTAGACCCTGCCAGAGAGGGGGCATCCGTAGAAAAGGATATGCTGAGTGTAGGGGTCAGGCTGTAGGTGGTGGGGATGGTGGTGAGTAGGGTCACAAGGGAGGCACCACCTGTTGGTGGGAGGCCAGAAAGGTGTGAGCCAAGAAAGCCGCTAGGTCTTGAAGGAGACGGGACCAGGCAGGGCTGCTCAGCTTGGTTAGCTAGAAATAGAACTGGTGGAACTTGGGAAGACGGGAGCTGGGAGGGTCAGCCCCTTAACATTCAAAAACAGAAAAATCCCCTCAACAGGAAAATGTAAAACTATTCATCGGTGGTAGCCAGCAAGAGGCACTAACTAGTACTTTCCAGAGGAACTCAACAAGCAGAGTTTGCTAGAACTCCTGAAAGAACCTTGCTGGAAGCTGCAGGAAATCCAACCAGAATACTGAAAACAAGCACCCAAGTACACAGAGAGCAGACTCACGTAGGAGCTCAGAGTAGACGCTAGAGTCGGACCTCAGAGTAATGTAGTAGCTCAGAGTAGAGTCTAGAGTCGGCACCTTAACCTCTGTATGCCTCATTTTCTCTTCTAAAAAATGGGGCTAACCATACCTGCTTCATAAGGCTATCACGGGGATTAAATGAGTTAATGTATGTAAAGAAGTTAGAACAATGCCTGGCACAAAATAACCACCATGTAAGCATGTGTTTACTATTATTAATTAGTATCCAGACATCTAGGACCCAGAATCCATTGCAGATCTATTTAGACTCTTGCTACTCAAAGTGTGGTCCACTGACTAGAAACATCAGCATCACCTGGGAGCTTGTTAGAAATTCAGAACTCAGACCCAGTCCTGTCTGCTCTGAATCAGAGCCTGCATGTAACAAGATTCCCAGGTGAATGGTGAGCACATTAAATCTTGTGAAGCACTGCTGTGGAGCACACAGGAGGCCACACCCAGAAACCAGGGGAGGGATGGGCTATTTTGGGAAGGAGGCCAACAGGAATTAGGCCCCCTGCCTTGGGGTGCCCACAGCCTGGAAAGCCTCACACAGCTTTCGGGCAGGACTATTCCTGTGAGCTTTTCACTTGGGACACAGACATTGTTCAGGCCTGGGGGGACTCCCTACACATCGGTGTGCTGGGACAGCCTGGTGCCTGGGGCCACCGTGGGGGCATGGTGGCTGAGGCCACCCCCGCCCCCAGCCCGGGGGATGACGCGAGGTTGAGTGGTGGTTTGCTGGAGTACCAGGTACTCAGGAGGCGGTCCACCTTTTCCCGGCTGGAGATGGCGCGCAGGTGGGCCTTCCTGCTACCGCCGTCTGGGTCCTCCGGGGGCTCAGGTGCCTCTGGCGGCTCCAGGTTCCTGCCCGCAGTGTCCTGGCGCAGCCCCCGAGCCCGCATCTCGCTCTGCATGCTGGCGAAGAAGTGCAGCACGCACCGGTGCGCGAAGTCCCGCGCATGCTCGCAGCACGTCTCGTCGAAGAGCTTCTGCTCCAGGTCCACGTAATTGCTCCAGTACCTGCGCTGCAGAAGGACGGTCTGGTCGAAGCAGGGCCTCAGGCATCGGGCCAAGAAGGCTGCGATGATGAGCAGCAGGGTGATACTCCAGCCGATGGCCTGGAGGGCAGGGAGGCACAAGGTTGGGTGCAGGTGCACGGTGTAGTAAGGGTGCTCCAAAGTCCCTCTCCTCGCTTCTCCCTCCCAGCCTTTCTCAAACTAATCATCCTCCCATTCAGTCATCCTTCCACCCAACCATCCTCTCATCTGTCCCTCCTTCCATCAACCTACCTATTCACCTATTTTCCCTTCCATTCATCCTCCCACCCTGGCATCCGTTATCTATCCAACCATATCTCCATCCATCCATCTCATCTGATTATCTATAATCTTCCTGTCCAGTCATTCTCCCAACCATTTTTCCATCTGTCATTATTCATCCTCCTATCTATCCATCTTCCCAAACTTTCTCCTATTTATCCATCCATCCATCCACTATTCTCTCCTCTTTTTATTCATTCGTTTACCCATTCTCATATGTTTCATCCATCTATGCATCCATCCATCCTACGTTTTGTAGTAGGCACTGTGCAAGCCACGGGGACCCAGTCTTTGCTCTCGCAGAGCTCACGCTGTAGTGGGGGAAATGGACAACTAAATAGGTGATGAGTGACTAAGTGCCACAAGGAGGGAAGTACAGCAGGTCATGGGAATCCAGAGGAGGGACACCAACCTGAACGTGAGCGCTCAGGGAAGACAGTGACATTTAAGCTGAGACCTAAAGGATTAGTAACAGTTATACCAAAAAACTCAATTACCATCGAGTCAATTCTGACTATAGCGACTCTATAGGACAGAGTAGAACTGCCCCATAGGGTTTCCAGGGAGAGGCTAGTGGTTTCAAACTGCCAACCTTTGGGTTAGCAGCTGTAGCTCTTAACCACTGTGCCACCAGTGCTCCAGTTATGTAAGGTATCAACAGGGCAACAGTGTTCCAGGCACGAATCCAGCATGTGCAAACGTGAGAAAAAACTGGAAATAGTTCTCTAAGGCTGGAGCCCACACCTGGCAGATTCCTCCCTCGTCTCTACCCGCGCAAAGCTACAGTCTCTTCCAGGTATGGTTTAAAATCCGGAGTGATTATGTGGCCTGAAGCAGAGAATTTTCATTCCTCTAAACCCCAAGCAAAAACGTATTCAAATCCTTATCGTTTGCAGGTGTGATTTCAACAATTTACAAAGCTCTGTCATTTGACCAGTCACCAAATTTTAAGGTGAGTATTTTATACAGGAGGAGCAGAAAACCAAGCAACTTGCTAAACTTGATGTGATTGCTGAGTTGAGATTCAAACCCTGGTCTCTCGGATTGTATATCCCATGCCCTTCCCGCTGGATTAGTGACAGTATAGTGTTTAAGCCCACAGGGACTATTAAGGTGAAGATCAAACCCCCCTTAGTTTTGCAGGAGAAACTGGGGTCCAGAAGAGGGGAGGACTGGTCCCAGGTCACAGCTTGGACCAGAATCAAGTGTGTCCTGTGGTCTTCTCTCCACTGTACAACCGGCCTGCATTTGCCGTGAACATGTCTCAGCTTCCCAAAGGGCGGGGTTTGTGTCTCTATTATCTGCATCCTTTGAGTGGTGCTCTTCATGCAGTAGATTTATATAAATTCTTTTTGGTGGACAGAGCCCAGGGCTGGGGCTCTGGGGGAGGGAGAAGGAAGATGTGGAATCTAGAGCCTATGGTGAGGCTAGGGTTTGCGCCAGGATAATGGAGTTGGTGCCTGTGGAGAAGGCATCTTCAGGCGACCTGCATTGTAGAGAGGTGGTTAAGAGGGTTTGGAGTAATGACAGGTGCACTCAGATCCCTACCCTGCCTCGTAAAAGCTGTGTGAGTCGTTTTTCTTATCTGCAAAATGGGGTGATAATAATTGCATCTACTTCATAGGGTTGTCCTGAGAATTAAATAAAATAATGCATATAAAAAGAAGCCCTGGTGATGCAAATGGCCAAGTACTTGGCTACTAACCAAAAGGGTGGTGGTTTGAACCCGCTCAGCAGCTCCAGAGGAGAAAGGCCTGGTGATCTGCTTCCATAAAGACTATAGCCAAAAAAACCCTATGGGGCAGTTCTACTCTGTCATGTGAGGCTGCTGTGAATAGGAACTGACTCAAGGGTACCCAACAACAATAACAATGTATATAAGATGCTTAACATAATGCCTGACATATAAGTGCACAATAAATGGCAGTTATTATTATTTCTGAGGAGTGTGTGTATGGGGTAGAGGGTGGGGCAGAGCAGTAGAGACCTGGACTCTCTCTCTTTGTCCTGCAGCCCAGCCTCCTGGGGACGGACCCAACCAACTCCTGGAGGGCATGGGAACCTGTTCTCTGCCCTGGGTGAGTCAAATTTGATGAGAAAATGGCATAGGTCCAACACTGTCCTGTGACTGGATCACACTCCTGATTCCCTGCTCACCACCCGCACCACCCCACCAGGACCACCCGTCTCCAGCAGTGGTGAGAGTCCTCAGGAAATGATCCACACCTCACCCTACCCCCTTTGGAACCAATGCAGGACATTTGCCAGGCCTGGGGGCAGGGATTGTGGTGAAGGGACTATCTGGCCCTCTGGTCTTGGACTCCAGCATTGACGCCAGAGCCAATGAAGGGGAACATAGCGGTGACCACCATCGCAATTACCTGTGACAGGCACCGCAGGTAGCGAGACACTGCCTTTCGGGCAGGACTATCCCTGACCAGCTCATCCTCCTTGCAGGGCACCTTAGCCAGGAAGAGCTGCACCTGGCTGAGGGTCATGTTGGCAAAATCCAGAAACTTCTCAGGGTCCACAAAGCTGCTGAAGGCACACACGAAGCACTTCCCATCAAGGAGGGCCAGCAGGATCCAGACAAGAGGGGCAGCCAGAGCTCTCTGCAGCACGGAGGAGCACATATACCTGGGAGCAGAGGAAAGAGGAGGTCATGGAGGGCAGCTAGGATCCAGCTGCAGCAGGAAGGCTATAGGGGAGATGCAAGGATGGACTTCCCCCGGAGGGATGGGAAATATCAGGCTGGGTTACATCAAAAGACTGGTTGCAGCCCCGAGGGTAGAGGTCCCAGTAGCAGAGGGCAGGGAGGAAGGAGGGCTGGGGGCCCTGGGAATCCCAGGACTGGAATACTGGGGACTTGGTATTCTTCTCAAGGTACTGTTGGTGCCCTGCCCATGCCAGAGGCATCTACAAGCTTTGATGGATAGTTTCCTTTCCTGTGGATGTGGAGGGCCGCCTATCTCTGCCTGAGGACTTCGGAGCATTCTCTGTATCAGAGAGGAGCAGGCAGGAAGTGCTGGAGAGTTAACAGCTCCCAAGATAACCTTCAACCCAAGAGGGACAGGATCTGGTGGTTAAATACCCCAGCTTCCTCAACCCTCAGTGGGACAATTCTGAGGTCTGTTCTGTGCATTGTCTCAGTGGGTTCCCGGAAGGACAGAATCCTAGTTGCCCATAGCGGCAACTCACTCATTATCACTTTCTTTCCAGAGTTTTTTGGGGGAGCCTACTAAGACAGCCCTGCCCGATAACCTCTCACAGGCAGCACTTCAAACACCACCCCCCCAGCATCTGGGGGCGCTGTCCCTCTGCTTGGCCTCACGTGCCTCTGCAGACCAACTCTGCCCCTCTAGTGAACTAGATTGGGTGTTGGTCACAGGACAGGAGGCTCGTAGAGCTGCACTTACTGGATCCCAGAGGAAAAGACAAAGGGCACACCCAGTACATGTGACCCACCCTGCAAGGCTGAATCACAGGGAACATGTATTCCCTGAGGAGCACGAAACAGAGGATGTACACGCACAGGGCACAGATCTTGTTGTTAACTTGATCATATACAAAACATAAAATGATGTGTGCTGAATGTGTGTGTGTACATGCACACAAGCATGCATGCACACAAACATGCATGCACATAGCCTACCCAGGTGTGAATTATAAATACGTTGTAGGCAGTGGTAGTTCCAGCATTTTCTCTGGGGGGCAATGAGGTTGGTGGATGGAACTGGGGGACTTGTGAAGTTACATTCCATCCCTTTGGGAAAACCTCAATTGTCTATATCAAAGAATAGGGGAGGGAAGAAGACCATGAGTGGTCTAAAGGCCACCAAGCCACTCCTGCCACTGCCCACAGATCTACAGCACTTAGATATTGTCTCCAGAACACTCAGGGCAGCTGTTCAAGCTTGAGCTGTGGAGTTAGAGAGCCCGTGTTTGCAACCCAGCAGTGCCACTTCCTAGCTGTGGGAACTTGGCCAAATTACTTAACCTCTCTGTGCCTCAGGTTCTCCATCTGTTAAAGGGAGTCCAATAAAGGAGCAGACTCAGGTGGAGGTGAGAATTCAGAGAGGTCCAGCATATAAAGTGCTTGGCACAGAGTCAATGCTCAGTGTTGGCCGGTGAGCAAGACGAATCACGAATTAACTCCCCCAACTGATTTTGACACAGAGCACCAACCCTGAGCTAGGCTCTGAGGACACAGCAGTGCCAACAGATGAGGTCCCTGCCCTTGGGAGCTTACAGCAAAGGGAAGGCAATCATTAATTAAATCATTGCCTCTCATTACATGTGGGAAACACTGCATGGCATAGCACTTAATATGTGTGGTGAGTTATAATCCATGGTCAGTGTGGCAGATGTGACCTGAGTAATTCTCGGGAATCCTGTATCATTCATGTGTCACGGATAGACCACCCACGGCACTGGCCACAGAAAGGTAACAAATGACAGGAATAGAAATATCTGTTTCCAGAGTAGAAACTGGCAGATGGGTCTCCATGGGCTGACAATGCCTGGAGGAATGAGGGGGCACACCTGGCAGTGCTGTGGGGGTAGGTGGTTGGAGGAGCCCCTGACAATGCCCGTGAGGTGGTTGGGGTTTAGGTGTGCAGCTGGCAGTGCCAATGGGGGTAGGTGGTTGGAGGAGGCCATGACAATGCCCATGGGGGGTGGTTTTGTTGATTTTGTTTTCGTTATGTTGGTGTGTGACTTTGGAGAGACCCCATCTCTTACAGAGTAGAACTGTTTCATAAGGTCTTCTTGGCTATAATCTGTATGGAAGCAGATTGCTAGGCCTGTTCTGCTGTGTGGCTGGGTGGGTTTGAACCACCAACCTTTTGGTTACCAGTCGAGTGCAAACTGTTTGTGCCACCCAGGGACCTTTGTTCGGGGTTTTGGTGTGCAGCTGAAAGTGCCTGTGGAGACTAGTGGTTGGAGAGTGGGGGAGCCCCTGACAATGCCCCTGGGTAGCTGGGTGGTTGGGATTTGGAGGTGCACCTGGCAGTGCCTATGCAGGTGGGGAGTTGGGGGAGTCCCTGGCAATGCCCCTAGGTAGCTGGGTGATGTGGGACCGCACCTGATGATGCCTGGGTCCTTCCTCCGGTGCCCCATGGGCCGGCGCCACTCCTCCACCATCACCACGGACTGCCGGTTGGCGAGGAGGCCACAGAGGAAAAGGGCGAGCGGAGGCGTGAGCAGCAGGCCCAGGCCGTACAGGGCATTGTAGTGCTCCAGGCAGGGGCAGTTGAAGTCGAAGGAGGAGTACAGCTTGACCGTGACTGCAGCCAGCAGCAGGCAGATGCCATTCATCACAGATTCTGTACTGGACTGGAAGTGCTGGAAGAGCATACGGAATTTATCCATGGCTCTGGCTGGGTGGGTGGGGGCAGCATTCAACAGGGCAGTAAGGCTTTAGCTGCCTACTGGCCAATGCCAGGCCACGCTCAGGACGAGCTGGGGGGCCACAGGAGGGTCTTGCTTCTCTTCCAAAGGCCTGAGGAGGTAAGGAAGAGGCTGAGTCCAGACCCCAGCCCAGCCCTCTGAGGTCCAGCAGAGAACTTAAGGCTGAGGCAGACTCTCTCCACAAAGGCTCCCCTGCTCAGCTCAGCTTGATTGTCCCCCAAAGGCACTCTCCTCCTCTCTGGGGGAATGAGTCACTGCTCAGTGACCAGCCAGCCCAAAGCACCTCTAGGCAAATGGGCTCCGCCTTGTCACCCTATCCCTCCCCATCCCACTCCCTCCTCTCTTCAGGGTTTGGATTCTCAGGCCAGACAGCTGGTGGGGTGTTTGGTGAGGGACAGGCAAATTCTGGGTGTGGTAAGGAAAAGATGCTGGTGGAGGCCCAATTATATTTTCTGGTCTTGGTCAAGAGCAGGACTTGACTCAGCCCAGCCCAGGGAGATTTCACGCTGGCTTTTATGCTGAGAGGAACCAGATTGTTGTTGTGGTAGTTGCCATTGAGTGGATTCTGACTCATGGCGACCCCGTGTGGGCAGAGTAGAACTGCTGCATGGGGTTTTCAAGGTTGTGACCTTTTGGAAGCAGATCGCCAGGCCTGTCTTCCAAGGTGCCTCTAGGGTGGGTTCCAGCTGCCAACGTTTTGGCTAGTAGTCGAGTGCTTAGCCATTTGTACCACCCAGGGCTCCAGAGGAGCCAGGAAGGGAGCCTCTAACCCTGTCTGAAGGGTTCCTGGAAGAGGAGGACCTTGACAAGAGTCTGAAACCATGAGTCTGCGTTTGCCAGTGTTATAGATTCAATTGTGTCCCCCAAAACATGTGTTGAAATTCTAACCCCTGTACCTGTAAGTATGTCCCTGTTTGGAAATAGGGACTTTTTGTTATGTTAATGAGGCTGTCTTAGTTGTCTAGTGCTGCTATAACAGTTCTACCCTGTCCTATAGGGTTGCTGTGAATTGTAATCGACTCGTCAGCAACAGGTTTGGTTTTGGGTTTTGGCTATAACAGAAATACCAGAAGTAGGTGGCTTTAATGAACAGAAATTTATTTTCTCACAGTTTAGGAGGCTAGAAGTCCGAATTCAGGGTGCTGGCTCTAGGGGAAGGCTCTCACTCTGTCTGCCGTGGGGGAAGATCTTTGTCTCTTTTCAACTTCTATTCCTAGGATCCTTGGTGATCATGTTCTCTCTGCTTGTACTTGCTTGCTTAATCTGCTCTTTTATATCTCAAAAGAGATTGACTTAAAACACATCTTATGCTAATACTACTTCATTAACATAACAAAGAAAACCCATTCCCAAATGGGATTATAACCACAGGTATAGGAGTTAGGATTTACAACACATATTTTTGAGGGACACAATTCAATCTATAAGAGAGGTCATGCCGGTGTAGGGTGGATCCTAAAACTAATCACTTTTCAGTTACAAAAAGACCAGAATAGACACAGAGACAGACACACACGGGGAAGACAGACACCAAGGAATGCCAAGAAACTCCAAAGAACTTCAAAGAACTCCAAGGAACTCCCGACAAGGAGAAGCCCTCCTTAAAGCCAAAGCCCTGATTTGGACTTTAGCCTCCAAAACCGAGAAAATAAATTTCTGTTCTTTAAAGCCACCTCCACTTGTGATATATTTTGTTACAGTAGCACTAGGTAGCTAACACAGCCAGTGATCGGGGTTCTGGAAGGGGAAAGCCTTCCAGGTAGAGGATTCTGCATGAGCAAAGGCATAGAGTGAGAAGCAGCCTGGTGGGGCCAGCAGTTTGGGGTTGCTGGAGTGTGAAGAGTCAGGCAGGGGGTCTGGAGAGGGCTGGAGGGGTCAGTGGGCGTTCTGCAATCCTCTCCTCCATTTTGCCTGCTGCCCTCCAGGTCTCCTGAAAGCACAGCTTCCACCGCATCACTCCACTGCTCAGGTATGACCAGGGGCTCCCACAGTGTCCCTTGCTTGACATTCAAGGCCCTCCACAGTACAATTATCACCAAAAAACAAAAACCCATTGCTGTCCAGTCGATTCCATCTCATAGCGACCCTATAGGACAGAGCAGAACTGCCCCATAGAGTTTCCAAGGCTGTAATCTTTATGGAGCAGACTGCCGCATCTTTCTGCTGAGGAGCGGCAGGTGGGTTCAAATCACTGACCTTTCAGTTAATCGCTGAGTGCTTAAACACTGCATTACCAGGGCTCCTTACAATGATCACTGTCAGGAAATTTAACATTGGTACAACGCTATTATCTAACATACAGTCCATATTCAAATTTCGCCAGCTGTCCCCATAATGTCTTTTATAGCTGTTTTTAAGTTTCCAAACCAGGATCCAATTAAGGGTTGAGCATTGCACTTGGCTGTTATGTCTCTTTAGTGTCCTTTATTCTAAAACAATTTCCCATTTTTTTTGTTTTTGTTTTTTGTGACATTAACATTTTTGAAGAGCCCAGTCTAGTTATGTTGCAGATCAATTATTTCACTTTTAAAGAAAAATTTATCACTGTGATTGGAAAACCAGAAGCACTTGCCAGTAACAAAAGATATCCATAGACGAAAAAAAGAAAACATCAAAGTTACTAAATTCTTTCTGGGTAGTGTTGCATGTTAAAGGCTTGCTCCCCTTTGTTAAAAAGGAAGATAAGCAATGTTTGCAAAAAGGTCCTAAGGAAGAGAAGCACTTAACTCCCTGGAAAGGCCAGAAGGCTGGAGGGACAGAGCGGAGAGAGGAGTAACGCTCTCCCTCTGTGGCTTGGCATGATCTAGTGCCAAGTGCGTGCACCACCTAGAATCCAGCCCCACTGAGAAAACATTGGGCTGGTCCACATCTCCAGTATCGCAAGGGCACTGGTGGGGTGTGGTGGGATTTAGTGACTCTGCCGAGATTACACAGCAAGTGATGCAGTGAGCAACGAGAGAAGAGCCTAGAGCTCAGATTCTGGTTATACCATTCTGCCATCCTTGGGGGATTAGGAGTGTGGCTTTGGTGTCAGGCCGGATTCTAGCCTGGATTCTGCAAGCCACTAGCTTCTTTGTGTCTTCGGTTTCTCGTTATAAAATGGAGCTAATAGTTATACTGACAACATGGGGTTATTGTGAGGACTACATGAGCTGATACCCAACAAGTGCATAGCACAGTACCTGACACTCAAGAAATAGGGCTTTATTATTTTCACGTGGGCAAAGACGGGCAGAGACTAGGGGAAAAGGAGCAAAGTAACTGTGCCAGGGTGAGGCAGTCCACTCACTAATTCATTCTGGCAACAAATACTTGCTGCACATCTATTAGGTGTCAGCATAGAAAGACCTGAGCCCTTAGGGAACTCCCTATGGGAGCAAGGAGGCTTCAGTCTCCCGAGGGAGGCAGACATCTAGACAAACAAGGACCATGCAGTTTTACCAGGTGCTCTGGGACCTTTGGGGATGGGGATCCTATTTCTCTCCTGCTCTCAAGTTGCTGATGGCTTCCCCTTACACTGAAATAAAGTCATAATGTTAAAATCCTCATGGTGGTCCTAAGCCTTGTTGTCCTGGTCCCTGGTCACCTCACCTCCCACCACTCTCCTCTTTACACGCTGCTCCATCACTGACACCCTTGCTGTTCCCAAACATGCCCCACACGTTTCTGATTCAGGCACTTGCCTCCTGTTCTTCCCACTTGGAAGGCTCTTCCCCCTGCAATGCCTAATCCCTTCACTTCCTTTGGGTTCTGAACACTGTCATTTCCCTTGGCCTCCAAAAGACAGCCCCCTGCCCTGGTCTTGCTTTCTTTTCCCTGCTGTATTCTTCTCTAGTGTTTATTACGTATTTCATTGTTTATTGCCTGTGTCCTCTGCTAGAATAGAGACTTCACAAGGGCAGAAACTGTATCTTGTGCACTATTGTATCCCCAGATCCTAGAGCAGATCATGAAACATAGTAGGTACTCAGTAAATATTTGTTGAATAAATGAGCAAATGGGGATAGGGTAGGAGAGGCCAAGGGGAAGGAACATCAGGTTCTGGGATTTTTTTTTTTTTAATCTTTGGTTGAACAGTGAACCAGGGAGTGACTTCATTACTGAGCTAAAAGGGTGTCTGGGGACCACACTCCCAGAGTTTCTTCAGTCTCTGTCAGGCCAGTAAGTCTGGTCTTTTTTTGTGAGTTAGAATTTTGTTCTACATTTTTCTCCAGCTTTGTCTGTGACCCTCTGTTGTGATCCCTGTCAGAGTAGTCAGTGGTGGTAGCCGGGCACCATCTAGTTGTACTGGACTCAGTCTAGTGGAGGTCGTGGTAGTTGTGGTCCATCAGTCCTTTGGACTAATCTTTCCCTTGTATCTTTAGTTCTCTTCATTCTCCCTTGCTCCCAAAGGGGTGAGACCAGTGGAGTATCTTAGATGGCTGCTCACAGGCTTTTAAGACCCCAGACGCTACTCAC